CAGTCCTCCTCTCCCCCTCGGGGCAGAGTCTGCAGCAGCATGGGGAGGGTCAGTGGGAACCCCAGCTCCTCCAGGTTCCGGCCCAGAGGGAGCAACAACCGACAGGGATGGTTCCACTCCCCGTCTGGCAGCTACTTCCCCCATCCCTCCCCCCCAGGACCTTTCCCCTTGAGTAGCCTGCCCTGCTCCTCCGTGGCACTCCGCCTCACTCGCAGTCCTCAGCTCTCGCTCAGTCCCCGGGCTCCTCCCCTGCTCCCAATTAACGGCAGAGGAACCTTCTTAACCCCTCTCAGCTGGTTCTCCATTGACCCCAGGTGCTCTGATTAGCCCCGCCCAACGGACTCCAGAAACCTCCCAAATATCCGCAGGTGCTTCTGTTGATTCTAGAAGGTTCCTTCTGGCTCTGGGTTAGAACCACAGAACACTAGAACGGGAAGGGACCTCGAGAGGTTATCGAGTCCAGTCCCCTGCCCTCACAGCAGGACCCAGCACTGTCCAGAATCACCCCTGAGAGATGTCTATCTAAACCTGCTCTTAAATATCTCCAGAGACGGAACCGGTCTTAGGGACGAGCCGCAACCGCAGTTCGGCCCGACTTCCCTGGCTTTTTTTGTTTTGTTTTTGCTCGACAAATTTTCCCCCGTGGTTTTTTGGTTTTGTCCGGTATTTTTTTGGAAACCATCTGGCAACCCTACAGGCGAGCCGGGCGGTCGCCTGGGGCCGCCAATTGGTTAGGACCAGCCCCACCCATGTGACTTTGATTTCGTTATTTCCGGAGTTATTACATCGATTTTTAAAAAAACAGCGTGTAATCCTGCAGCACCTTAGAGACGAGCAAGAAATGCAGATGGCATCGTGAGCTTTCGTGGCAGCGATTTTAGTTACTTGGAAATAGCGTCGTTGCGTGGACACGCCTAAGAGCTGTCAAGGGAGCAGCTGGTGGGGGTGGGACTCGGGTTGATGTGATTCGGGAAGAGGAGCAGTCTAGAGCGTCATTGCTGTCTCGTCTGCCATCGCAGGAAGGCAAGCCAGCTCCTCTGCACTTCTCCTTGCTCCCTTTCTAATCAGTTCCAACTGAGCTTTACAACGAACCGAAACGGCCTTTTACAAAACCTACTGATCTGCAGTGTCCTCGCCAGGAGGAGCCAGCGGAGTTCAGAGGCAGCCGCAAGCCAAGTTACCGGCCCTCGGAAAAAAGGGACCTTTATCGGGACACAAACTTCTCCCGCCTGACCTTTCCGCACCGCGGAGCCCGGCCGGTTTTGTCTGGCTCTCGCAGAAAGGGCCGAGGGCCAGCATCGAATGTCCTCGCTTGGGAATTCAAGGTGACTCTGTGTCTGCCGGGGCAGAGACGGGGGACTGTCGTCTACCGTTCCTCGTGCCAACCTGGCAACAAGCTGGCAGGGTTTGAAAGAGGCAAAACAAGCTCTTCTCTGTGGAGCTGCAGAGCAAGGCACATCAGTGTCACAGGGACGTTACCCAACACAAAGACAAACCCAATCTTCGGAACTTATCTGGCCCCGTCACTGGAGCATTAAGCCGTGCGGCCCTTGGGGGCTGCCCTCCTTTTACCGAGGGGGAACGGACACAGAGGACCGACTGAATCATAGAATACTAGGACTGGAAGGGACCTCGAGAGTCATCGAGTCCAGTCCTCTGCCCCCATGGCAGGACCAAATACTGTCTAGACCATCCCTGATAGACATTTATCTACCCTACTCTTAAATATCTCCTCAGATGGGGATTCCACAAACTCCCTGGGCAATTTATTCCAGTGTTTAACTACCCTGGCAGTCAGGAACTTTTTCCTAATGTCCAACCTAAACCTCCCTGGCTGCAGTTTAAGCCCCTTGCTTCTTGTTCTATCCTCAGAGGCCAAGATGAACAAGTTTTTTCCCTCTTCCTCATGACACCCTTTTAGATAGCTGAACAGAGCTCTCATGTCCCCCCTCAGTCTTCTCTTTTCTAAACTAAACAAACCCAATTCTTTCAGCCTTCCCTCATAGCTCATGTTCTCTAGACCTTTCATCATTCTCGTTGCTCTTCTCTGGACCCTCTCCAATTTCTCCACATCTTTCTTGAAATGCGGTGCCCAGAACTGGACACAATCCTCCCACTGAGGCCTAACCAGCGCAGAGCAGAGCGGAAGAATGACTTCTCGTGTCTTGCTCACAACACACCTGTTCATGCAGCCCAGAATCATGTTTGCTTTTTTTGCAACAGCATCATATTCAGCTTGTGGTCCACTATAACCCCTAGATGCCTTTCTGCCGTACTCCTTCCTAGACAGGAGGAGAGGTTTGTCGGGATGTGATGCTCGCCGTGAACGGGCCTCATGCTGGCAAAACCGCGCTTCGGGCAGGACTGCGGATTCCAGCCCTGGTGTACAAAATCGAGTTGGAAGAGGAGCAGTGGTACGCCAGTCACAAACTAAATATCGGCTAATTGAATACAGGTGGTCCCCAAGTTACAAACGCATCGACTTACGACTGATCGACCTTATGACCAACCTCCCATTAAGAGCATTGCAGCCAGTCCCCGAGTTACGAAGGCGCGAGCCGTGCTTACGAACGGGGCATATATTTTGGTGGACAGGTAACTATTTGCATAGACATTTTAGGGATGTTAAATATCAGTCAACTGAATAGTCAATTAACCTCATGAATTCTTAACAGTTAGCTGACTATTCCATAGTCCTAGGGGGTGGGGCCGGCAGCCAGTGCCCCACTCCTGAGAACCCCCTGCCACTCTGCGCGGGGTGCCAGGTGGGAGCTGGTCTGTGAGGGTAGCCAGTCAAAAACCAGCTCCCCTCACGGACCAATTGCCTGTTGCCTTGGACTGCTGCCTCCTGTCCGGGGAGTGGGGAGGGAAATGTGTATAGCCTACAGCATTAAACGATAAGCTTTTGCTTATTGGATAATCGACTACACTATTACATCCCTATTGCAAACTGCACTGCCTCATGACCTGGACGTGTGATACACAAGAATGTCAGAACGCCCAGGCTGGATCAGACCAAAGGTCCTTCTAGCCCAGTGTCCTGGCTGCCAACAGCGGCCAATGCTAGGTGCCCCAGAGGGAGTGAACAGAACAGGGAATCACCAAAATGATCCTTCTCCTGTCATCCATTTCCAGACAAACAGGGCTCGGGACAGCATCCTTACCCATCCTGGCTAATAGCTATCGATGGACCTAACCTCCATGAATTTATCCAGCTCCTTTTTGAACGCTGTTAAAGTCCTGGCCTTCACATCCTCTGGCAAGGAGTTCCACAGGTTGACTCTGCACTACATAAAGAAAAACTTCCTTTTGTTTGAAACCTGCTACCAATTGGACACTCACTGGATCAGGGTACACTACAACATATCGAGCAGTGCAGTCTAGCTGCAGCTTTTCAGGCATATAAACATCTCACCCTAAGCCGCCCTCATCTCCTCTTTTCGAAGCAGAAAAATCTCAGTCTTTTTAATCTGTCTTCATAGGGCAGCCGTTCCAAATGCCTCATCATTTTTGTTGCCCTTTTCTGAAGCTTTTCCAATGCCAAGAGATCTTTCTTGAGATGCAGCACCCACATCTGTACGCCATGTTCCAGATGTGGGCCTCCCATGGATTTATCCCCTTTGGAATGATTCCTAACATTCTCTTTGCTTTTTTTGATAGCTGGTGGCACAGGGAGTGAATGTTTCAGGTGACATGGAGGGAGAGGGGTGCCTGGTGGGAAGGAAGCCTCTTCCCGGGTTTGACTAAGAGGGAGCCATTACGAACTTAACTTCTACAAATGAAAGGCGCTTTTAATCACCGCAGGCTCCAGACGAGCCTTGCTTTCTGGCAGAGTCTCTCATTAAGAGCCGAATGACTGTGTCCTTTCATCTTTGGCCTTATCTCAAAAGCCCTGTCATCCGAACGCACCGTCTGTCCCTGGGTGGGGGGATGGAAGCGGCTCGGTCTATCTTCCGTTGGCTGTTTGCACGGAAAAAGTATGAGAGATGGATAGGAACTGCTGCCCCTCACCAAACACAGTGCTTGTGGCAATGCTGCGAGTTGGCGACACTCGTGGCTGTGGCCAGTGCGATGGTATTGGTTCATTTCCAATTAAACTGACTATGCTAGAAGCAGCATGGCCTAATGGCTAGGGCACAGGACTAGGAAACCTGACTCCTTGTGCGACCTTGGGCAAGCCACTTCGGCCGTGTCTACCTTAGGAATGTGATTTTTAACTGGTGGGGGCTGAGGCAGCCCCTGTCGGCCATAGGCCCG